AAAATTGAACACCTAGTATTTGCCTCACAGTCTTCGTTTGAGTCTCCAGAATTTTTTTTCATTTGAAAATTCTGCAAACAGTCTTTTCATTGCAGGTGTTGATTTACTTTCGATATCTGAAAGATGTTTTGCACATTTTTTTTTTTTTTTTGAGTTATGGCCGTTGTCTCATAAATGTATAAGTAGATTAATTTTCACCTGATTAATAGCGATTCTCTGTAACCACTTAAACTTCTTGCCACGCATGGTCACCGATTTCGATGAAACTTTGCCCATTATTACAACTTGACACCAGAAACATATATCACATAAAAATTGTTGCTATATGTCTTGGTTGCCATGGTAACAGCCAGAAAAGTTGGAAAAATTGAGATTTTCAGCTACTTTGAATCTTTATTAAGCCTTAATAAAGACTAAGAAAAACAAACAAACCATTCTCACATAAACATGACACCATGTTGCCACTTATGCTATAAAGAAACTATTTAGAATTTATCTCTAAGTAAGTGGTAACTATGGGTACATTTGGAATGCATTTTAGATGCTGAAAAACGCTCAATATTCACTAATGTTAGGTGTTACATGATCAAACTCAATCAACAACCTAAGGAAAACAGTAAAAATATTTGACCTTAAGTAATTAGGTATTGGCAATATTAAGTCTAAAAATAACATTCATGGTTGCCATGGTAACACAGTATAACCATGCAAAATCTGTTGCTAAGATTGGGTTAATGCTACATGTAATATCTTGAAGAAAATCAATAAAATTCATGACTGGCACATATACATCCTTAAGACCTTGCAACACCCACAACATAAGAAATATTGGGATTAGTTGTTACTTTGCAGTGTAACCATGGAAACAACGTACCAGTTGTTTAAAGTGATATTTTTTTTGCTGCCTTGGGAATTTACTTACCTTTTAATCAAGGAACATATTATTTGACTCACCTTGAATAGTACTTATCTGGTAGAACTAAAGTTGAATATCAGATATTGATAAAGTTTGTTGAAAAATACAAGACTGTTGCTATGGTTACCAAGAAGTGAAAATGTTCGATTTTGTTAATTTTATATCAATATTGAACCCTATGTGCCAGCTTTTTGCATCCAGTTAGAGATTGGGTGATAGTCAAAATTGAAAGTCAGGTTAGTTGTTCATAAATATCAATCAAAACAGTTTCGGTTATCTACATACACTATGTACAAGAGTTCGTATCCAAGGAAATAGAATATTTTTCAGATTTTTATGCATATTTTTTCGGCTAATTTCCATAGCAACGCTCTATTTAAAGAATTGAATTTGAATTTTTTTAAAATGTGGAAATTAGGTCACACCAATGCCTTTAAAAATTGATCATCAGATGTATAGAAATACGCTTTTTAAAAAGATAGGATAAGACTAAAACACTAAGAGAGTAAATTTAAAATCCCTTCGTGGTATTAAAACCATGGCCACCATGGCCAACCTATAACAAATATCATATTTTGTCCTTGGTATATGTTACAAGGATCTCTTCTCTATTATTTGCTTGCATTTCAACCTATAATTGTTTTTATTCTTAAGTGTATGACTTTTTAAATTAAAATTAAATGAACAAAATTATTACTTTTGAATACTTTGTTTCCATAGTAACGTATGTAATACGTAATTACCAAACATGTTTATCATGCATTCAAGACATCAGGCCTTCAACTTTCAGAAACAGTCATTGCCACTTGTTTGCTTTGCTGCAAACCTTAAGTTGTCATGGTAATCATGACACATAGCAACCAATTTTTGCCTGATTTGAGTTTATGGTATCAAAGACTTTTATCATTGAGAGTTTGGAAAAATTCTGAGACTATGCGTACCACAGCTCCTATATAAAAGTTCAAGTCATTACAGAGAATGGTTCTTAATAACCCTGTCTAGGGACTCCAGCCTTTTCTCAGACTATACAGTCTACCTATACAAAGGAAAAAGAATGCGTTGTATACTTAATCACTCAATAAGTTTGGAATAATTTCTTAAATTCTATTTTGCAACTATATCAGCATTTTTATTATTATGTTTTTCTGAGCATAATAATTCTAGTAGGATAGCAAAGTTAATTCTCTCAAAACAATATTCTGTCTGTGATATGAAGGTGTAAGATAACTCTAAGAGGAAGTTTAATACTATTCACTCTTTACCAAACTTATGTTAGAATTATTTTCGGAGACTGGGTTACTTGATTGTCGACTACTGGTGACGATATGGTTATTCCGATCACTGAATTCAACTGTTGAAATATGGATTGTCATGATTGTCATCTGTTGTTAATGATGAACCAAGAACATTAATCAACTAACATGTTAAAATACTTTGCTCTATTTATAACAAGTGCGCCATATAATATTAAAGTCTAAAAGTTCAATTCACTAAATACTGGAATACTAGAAAGAAGAAAATTATTTGTTCATTTGAAAGTTTTATATGAAAAGGCTAAAGAAAATCCATACTTGGATTCTTCAACATTTGTAGGTTTTTAAGCCACCAGGTTTTACGGAAAACAATAACTCCGAAGAAACCCGTTTGTTCCTTAACAAAAATTTGTCAACAAAGGATGGACGCAGTAAACATTAGTGATATTCTTAATCACAAAAAGGTCAATTCTTGTATTCCAAAACATTTCAAGTTTAAATCCAAACCTTGTATTTCTTACAAATATTCATCGATCATTGCTTCAGGACTTTTTAGTTACAAATGCTTTTCACTCTCGGTCACTAAAGTACAAGTGATGAAATACGGTGTGTCAAAATTTCCACCTGTTGTTAACTATGAATCAAGAACATTAATCAGTTAGCATGTAAAAATCCCTTGCTCCCTTCATTACAGCTGCGGCATATATTATTGGACTGTAGAAGTTCATATTATTTAATACTGAAGACAGGAATACAACAGAAGAAGAAAATCATTTTTTCTTTTGAATGTTTTATATATGCTATATGGAAAGGTTAAAAAAATCCCTACCTGGATTCTTCATTACCAAAATAAACATTTGATTCTGTGATAGCGGACAAGATAAAGATAACGAAGAGTTATCGGTCTCAAAAAAATCTACAACCAATCCAAATCTGTGAAAAGGGCATAAAGCATAGACCCCCGGAAATTCCAGAGATGTGCCCAGCAGTGAGCCATATAAATTGGTCACGAAGACGGAAAATTCCGCAGTCAATTTTTTTCATACAAACGAAGGCCTAACAAATGCTATGGTAAACTTAAACCAAAAGACTATCCAACGATAGGTTCTATTTGTTAGAGTTTATTTAAACGATTATAGAGTTTATGAAATGCTGACATAAAACAAGATTGTTATAATCCCTGCCAAGGAAAAAATAGCTAATTTGTCAGTAGCCTGCCTCTGTTTATAAATTGGTGGTACTCAGAGCATGGTAATTCACATGTATACAGACGGTGTTTGAACTGCAGCGAATAGTTGCATAGTACTAGTATTTGCACAATTTATCCCACCTCTAAATTTTGAGGTCTGTGTTTGCTCTGCTTCAAATTTGTATCGTTTCATTGGACTTTCGAGATTGAATACTGTTCGTTATCTTCGTATTTCATTAACATTTCTAAGTTGATTTTTTTTACTCCAATCTTAAGAAATGAAAAAGGTGAAGATTTCGAACAATCATCGATCTCATAAAATCTATAAACAATACAATGTGAAGAGGGCATAAAACACGGGACTCTGGAAATTCCAGAGGTGGGATCAGGTGTCTAGGAGGAGAAAGCATCCTCTTTTGACTGGTCATACTCGCCGTAAGCCCTATGTACTGAGTATTGAGTATTGAGGTCCAGGAAGATGAAACATTCCCTATTCAAATTCAGTATAAAAACAAAGATCTAACAATTGGGCTGAAACAAGCCACCCAAAATACGACCCAGTGATAGGTAATGTTTGCTAACACGGTCATTATAACGACTATATATATATAATTTACGAAATGCCGACTTAATACAAGATTGTTGTAATCCCTGTAACAAAAACTTATCCGTCAGTAGCCAAACTCATTTTAAAAATTGATCGTACTCAGAGTATGCTCATGAGTATCGAATAAACACAATATGCAAGTGATAGCTGGATATTACTCCAACAATAAGGAAGGTTGAAGATTGAAAAGTTGAAGTCATCTCGTTTGTCATACAATAGTAAGTTAGTCATTATCGTCTTTAGTTTATAGAAGTGTTATTCTTAATCATTTGATTTTTTAGAAAGCAAACCAGAACACTTTTGTTTTTTATATATTCATGCGTCAGCTGACATTTTTAGTTTGAAACATATCAGTATCACTTGCATATTGTCATAAGACGTAATTTATAGAACAACGATGTAATTTATAGAACAACAATATAAATTGGTTAAAAAAAAGACATTTCCGTGTAGTCGTCCTCGTCAAAAAAATTGTTTGCGTGTAAGATTTGAATGTTCATCAATTAAAAGTTTATGGTTTTAGCATTTTTAATTAATATGTTTACAATGAGGAATAAAACAAATTTTCTTCATGCCAAAGCCCTTGCAAAGCAGTGGTTAGAGCGTTTCGTCTAGAGTAGCGAATTAAAAACACATGCGCGGGTTTGAAAAACCATGCAGCTCTTTGAGACAAGTTCTTCGGATGATACCATATCAGTTAACGTCAGATGTCGTAGCAGATGCTGACATAAAAAATCACTGAATGCTACATGCCATAGGATTAAATCCCAGCTTTCTACCAGCAACTACAAGCAACCATAATGAGTGAAAGAATTATCAGTGAGGCGTAAAGCAAACAACCAACCAACAAATATGTTTTCAAAAAGTTGTATATTACTTACTTTGCTCACATCCTTATACAATTGACGAATGCTAAACTTAATTTTAAAAAAAAAATTATTTATAAAATACATTCTTTCTTTGATATTTTGCAAATGTAATAGAAAGAAACCCTGCTGTATCTATTAACATGTACATTTTTACAAATTCGTTTGTACTCATGTAGAAATAAAGACTTCAACCTCACATAAGGCAAGGCTGTTATAAGATCCATGTATTATCTGCAGTCTCACAATGTTTCTAAGTACATTATCTTCACATAATATCTCCACCACTTGTTTGGTTATCCCGGGTCCCTTAAAGAATCCACAAGCTGTAAAACTGTAGGCATCCTGGAACACCCACAATGATACGTCGTGAAGGCGCTCTCCTGGAAGGGAATTCAAATGTTGGATTATTTTTTTTGTTGAAATTAAATCAATTAAATTAAATTAATTTTTGTACGCATGTATATATTCATCAAATGAATTTTTACCATTAGTAAACACCATCTATGGTAATATATACAGACATATATATGTTTTAATGGTTAAAAGCAATTAGAACTTTTCTTTATACCATTCATGAACAAGGAATATATAGAGATAACGAACAGCATTTATGTCATTTATTTATTTGTGGTGTCATTGTTTTTTTTTTAAATGTAATTATTAACTTTTAGTGTTACAAACCTGCTCCATCCTGTCGATTGTATAGCCTTACAAAGGAAATGAAATAATATCCATCTAAATGAATTTGAATCCAAGGATGTGTCTCGTAGTTTGAAAGAAAACACTGATGTGCACTTCTATAGTCGGCCACCTTCCCATCTACGGCCCAGCCTGCTGCATACCAACCACTATCATAAGGAAACGTGGACGACGAATGTGCCAGTTGTCGCAATGCAGCGTTTCTCACTGACTGTATTTCTGAAAAGGAGGTTTTGAGAACATTCGTAAAAATATATAATATAATCAGAATTGAATGAAAAAGGTAAAGATAACGAACAATAATCGATCTTAAAAATCTACAAACAATATAAATCTGCAAACATGGCATAAAACAAGGACCTCCAGAAATTCCAGAGATCAGGTGCCAAGGAGGAGTAAGCATCCTGTGTAAACCGGGTTCACTAGCAGTGAACCCTATATATTGATCAGGTAGACGGAAAATCCATGGAATAACTTATTACAAAATGATTTTCCAATTTGATTTTGCAGTACTACATACCATAGTGCTGCCATTCGATGTTAAGAATTTTGAACAAAGTGGGCGGCAGGTTATGGTACAATTCCAATGACAAAACTTTGCTGGAGGAACATAAAAGGTCATACACTTAAACCCTGTTAAAAAACTTGCACATTGTAATAGGCTTTCTACGTTTATACTTCTACAGTCCCTGTAATTGTATTTAACTTTAAACAATATTTTATTCACAGATCTAAAAATGAATAGGATTGGGCAGCAGGCTCACCCTTTTTTAGCCCTCAAATTTATTATTTTAGCCCTGTAATTGTATTTCACAGAAGTTTCTTTCTTAACAAACCACGGGACTGCCATGCCCATTTATAGAGTATAAATAATATGCAATTTACATTGTAGAATTATCATCTTCTTGATGTTGTTTTCAGAAAGTAAAAGAGAGACATCTACGCAGCGAACATTTTCTACTTTGATCACTCTTAAATTCTTTTGATCGATCTACAGCATTGATTTATTAGGAGTTGTTAAGCAATAAAACTTACAACGAGTAAAAAAATTCATGAAAGCATGTTGAAATTTGGAATTCTATACATTATTTAATTACCAGAATCTGTGATTGCTAAAATCATAAACGTGATATTTGCATTCATAAATTAACAAATTTTAACCTACCATACTGCTAAGGTTTTCTGAAATAGTGCACAGTTGGTTATGGTACAATCCAAATCACATTATATAAATGATATGAAGTTTAGGAATCCAGTATAGATAGGATAGATCGAACTCATCTTGGTTGATTGGAATGTTAAAAGTATTAAACAACAATGATTTTGTTTTAGTCACCTACCATAGTGCTTCCATTCTCTGGTAAGGTTTTCTGAACAAAGTGCGCAGTGGGTTATGGTACAATCCCAATGACAAAACTTTGTTAACGGAACATAAAAGAAGGTCACACTTTTACTTTCCTTAGAAAGACTTGCACATTGTAACAGGCTTTCTACGTGTAGATTTCTACAATCCATGTAGTTGTATTTCACAGAGGTTTCTTTCCGAACAAACAACGGGACTGACAAACTCAATGATATGATATAAATGATATTTAATAAACATTTCAAAACTATAATTTTCATGATTTTTTTTTTCAAAATTCAAACAAGGTTTGAATTGGGTTAGAATGTCAAGGTTTAAGTAAGGAAAAAATCCTCAGCATTAACTTGAAAACCTCTTTGTCTCATGAAAAATTAAATAAAAAAGAAGAAAATCACTAAATAATGTACGGAAAATTTGCATTCTTTGAGATAATCTTCTATTATTTTTTGAATCCCTTCTAACCCATTTCTGTTAAAAATCTTGACATCGTTTACCACTAACGTTAATTTTCATTTACTTCATTTATATTCTTGAGCATTTGATATTATCTTTCATGGCATCTTCTTTAAAAGTTGTACATTCTCACAAAAAGGCATATTTGTCCAAAAGCTGCAGAGTTTTGAAAACAAATAACTGTCTAGGAAGTTGTCATTCTTAAGGATCGATGAAGGATGAAATATTCATAATAAAGGTTAGGTTAGTGTAAAGATAAAAAAAAAAACCCTTGGAAACTTGGAGAATCAATTTACGATTTTCATGAGTGCAACGATTAGTCTCTTTGATGGTAGCATAAGAAAGAGAATATGCTAAACCCCCCTTTTTTCTTAAATTTTCTAAGTACCAGGAAAGAACATATTGTAATGAATTTAATCTTGTTTTCAATTACCTCTAATTGTATAAGAGAATGCTTAAATTTAAATGCAAAAAAATATCTGCAATATACACGACCTCTTTGTAAACGTGAATTATTTTACACGTGAACCCTAATTTCTTTAATGGTGGGTTCAAGTCGATGAATTCCGCTGTTGTATATTTGTCGCGGAAGGATTTAAACTGAAAAGAGCGAAAAAAGTTGTCGCCAATGACAATTGATTAACAAGAAATATGCTGATCTCAGCAATGAAATGTTCGTTATCTCCATATATTTCATCCAATAAAAATCAGAAAGCATGTGGGGGTATAATCTAGTTTATAAATATAACTCGTCAAAATTTAACTAAGTGAAGTTCAAGAATACGAAAATAAAACCTAATCTTAAAATTACCCAAATTGAGATCAATTCCTTGCCACCTTTTCTTAGAAACAACCATACTAAAAAGGAATGTGGTCGATGAATGCGTTGCCTATTGCAAGGCAGCATTTCTTGTATATGCCTCTTAAAGTTTTTTTAACTTTTCAGTTATTTTAAGTGTCAATTGTCTGTATTTGTTGAATATAATAAATAATTTCCTGAAAAAAAAATTCATAGTACATGGTGATTTGAAATGCTCAGAATCATAAATACAGCGAACACGCCCTTATTTAACCCTCATTCAATATCAAACCTCTGACTTTCTGCGTTCTGTGTATCAAGAGGCCCATGAGACAAAATGCACACCTGAGTCACCCTAGTCATGCTGCTCTTAAGAAAAATTGAAAAGTTTTGCTCTTTTTTTTAATCATTTTTATTTTAGAACCCATAAATTGGTTCCACGTTAATTTCAAGAGGTCATATCTTTAAAAGTGAAAGTTGAAGATAACAAACAATGATCAATTCCATAATCCTGTAAAGAATAAAAATCGTGAACAGGACAAAAACACAGATCCCTGGAAACACTAGTGATGGAATCAGGTGCTTTGGAATAGTATACATCCCCTGTCGACTGGTTAATACGCCTTGAACCCTCTGTATTGACCAAGTAAACAAAAATTATTCGAAGTCAAATTTGTAAAAAAAAAAAAAAAAAAAAAAAAAAAAAAAAAAATGGCGTAACAAGTGTATGAAAACTGAATGCTATGTATCTTTACTGTGAAACTTGGAATTTCAAAGTTAATGGTTCAAAAACAAATGTAATATTTTCAAAATGTAGACAACCTGAAAATACTTTTTTCATGTACAATGGTGAGAAATTATGAACTGTAGAAGAGTTTCAATACCTTGGCATTATTATTTCAAGGAAGGGTAACTTTCAGAAGAATAAATTAAGACTTGTGCAACAAGCAAGGAAAACTATGTTTGATGTTTTATGTAAATCTAGAAAGCTATATCTGCCAGTTGATATTTTATTACAATTGTTCAATGCAATGGTTGCTCCTATTTTACTGTATGGTTCAGAAGTTTGGGGATACGAGAACAATAGTATTATTGAATCATTACTTTTAGAATTCTGTAAATATATAATGAAAATAAAAAAATATTGTGTATGGCGAACTAGGTAGAGTGCCATTGTCTGTATTTATAAATGTTAGGATGGTTGGCTTTTGGCAAAAAATTGTTTCTGGAAAAAATGTAAAGATCTCTCGAATGATATATGAAATTATGTATAATCTTGATAAAGAGGACATTTTCCAATTCAAGTGGTTGTCACATGTCAGTAGCGTACTGATCAAATATGGTTTCGGAAATTATTGGAATGATCAATTTGTTCCAAAAAATGTTTGCGTATCTAGAAAGGCTAAAGACCAATGTAAAGAAACTTTTATATCAGACTGGAAGTTAAATGTTTTTAATTCTCATAAATGTGTTAATTATAGGATCTACAAAACAAACTTTGGTCTAGAGAAATATTTTTGTTTGTTACCCTTTGATCTTGTTCATAGTTTAATTTCGTTGTGTTAGTCACAGATTACCTATTGAATGTGGAAGGTTTTTAAATATAGATAGAGCAGATAGATTATGTGATCTCTGTAGTGTTGGAGAAATTGGAGATGAATTTCACTATATTTTTAATTGCAATTTTTTCAATGATGAAAGAAAAAATTACATACCTGAAAAAGTTTACAAAGTGAAAATATCAATAGTTTTGCTAACCTGTTTAATAGTGATGACAAATTTACCTTAATTGGCTTGGCTAAATTTTGTAAGATTGTAATGTCTTTATTTCACTCTTGAAATTCCTTCCAATACCTCTAAATTAATACTGTATATATATTTATCCTTTGTTCATTTGTTACCTTTTCATTGTTGATTTATTTCTTTTTGTACTTTTATGCCTCATGTGCGGGCATAAAGTGAATAAAATGTTTCAATGAAAACATGTAAGTCAGCGATATGTTGTACATGTATATGCAAAATATCGTTTTAACAACGATAGAATTTGAGAAATATTGACTTAAACGAGATATTTGAAAATCTTGTAACATTAACTTATTTATCAGTAGCCTTTATTGGTTTAAAAATTGATCATAAATTTATTGTACGGTGAGTTTGCATTATGAATATGAATTTAAACGCATTAAAAAAAAGTGTGTGTCAAGAATGTGTTTAGAAATGTGTCTATCATCTAAACACATTTTTACAGTGTATGAAATTATTAAATCAATCTGTAATCTTGTAAACCTCAAAATTAATTAAAACTATATACGCATGACCTACTGGCAACTTATTTTTATCTATTGCACTAAAAGGTTGAGAACCCGCTTACGCGAGTTTGGTTTTTTTCCTTCAACAGCTGCAACATTGATTTCCATCTACAATGTTTTCTTTTGTAACAACCAAAGAAAGCATTTTATTGTGTAAACAATTAAAAATAGATAAGCAATATAAATACATGTATTTATATTGCTTATCTACTTTGCACTTTAAAACAGCAGTCTCAATATTTTTAAACTACATGAATGAAAAATCACTATTTTCGTGTGGCATACAAAAATAAAGTGTGTCAAAACTGAACTAATAAAAAGTTCCTCACATTCTTATTGAAAAGGTTTTTTTCCTCCATTAATTTGTTTTCGTTTGGGGAATACTCAACATAAAATCACAAATTTTGGAACTAAACAATGAATGAAAAGAAAGCTATCCGTTTTTGTTTTTTAATTATTATTTTTGTTTGTCGTTGTTGTTATTGTTGTGTTCACAACGAAATATTGACCTCTATCTCACATAAACAAAGAATATTATGTGACCCATCTGTAATCTGCAGTCTCACAATGCTTCTAGGCACTTTATCTTCACATAATATCTCCACCACTTGCTTTGTTATCCCAGGTCCCTCAAAGAACCCACAAACTGTAAAACTGTAGCCATCCTGGGAAACCAGCAGTGATACATCATGAAGGTTCCATCCTAAAAGGAAATTTTGGGAACTGAATCATTTAATTTAAAGTTGACTGAATCGTGTACAAAATCAGGTACGAATATACCATGTATACAATTTTGTCTGGTTTTTTTTTCTAGTCAAACGATGATTAAGGCACCTGGGAAGTACAATATTCACCTTGCCCTCCGGGCTCGGTTAATATTGTACATCAAAGGTGGCTTAATCATCGTATTGATTAAAAAAAACATTAATTTTTTTTTATGTTTTATTACATGAGTTAATCATTAAATGAAACAGTCATTCAGCAAAACATATCATCTTGCTTCTTTACATTTGTTGATGTCCAAGCCTAACATATTATATTATACAATAACCAGTTGTTTTTTTTTTTTTTTTTTTTTTTTTTTTGGATGTTTAAATCTTTTAAGATGTGATGTAGAAAAAATAAAGGCACGTATATTAAAGTTGATTTAAGAAGAATGAGCATTACAAGAAAAACAATTGACAACTTACCTTAAAACGTTCTTCGACAACTCCAATCCCCAAGAAAAAGAAAACCCCCAAATCCAAAATTTATTTGGAGATTTTACGGTCCATTAACGGGGGATCCAGCCTTTTAAAGAACATTTAATACTACATGTAAAAGTAAAACTAGAAGTAAAACAAGAGGCCCAGGGGCCACATCACTCACCTGAGCACTTTGGCTACGAAAAAGCAGAAATCTTTCCAGTATTGATAAGTTTAAATATAAAAGTGGTTATGGGTAGAGGGGTATGATTTGAACAAACTTTAATTTACACTTTCTAAGGATGCTTTTGAATTAATATGACACATAATAGTTTTGCTGCTCTTACGAAGAATTTTTTTATTGATATATCCTTTATATTCCTTTGTATAATTATGATCCCCTGTTA